GAGCTTTTTTTCCATGTATTGTTGGCCATTTGTATTTTGTCTTTTTTTTGAAAATTATAAATATTTATTTTCTTTAAAAAATTTATTTATTGGGGCTGGGGTTGTGGCTCAGCAGTAGAGCACTAGCCTCTCACATGTGAGACCCTGGGTTCGATCCTCAGCACCACATAAAAATAAATTTAAAAAAAATAAAGATATTGTGCCCATGTATAACTAAAAAAATTTTTTTAAAAATTATTTTAATTTATATTTTTTCTTTTGAGGAGTGTCTGTTTAGTTTATTTGCCCATTTATTAATTGGGTCATTTGATTTTTTGGTGTAAAGATTTTTGAGCTCTTTATATGCTCTAGATACTAATCATCTGTCAGAAGAGTAGCTAATAAAGATTTTCTCCCATTCTGTGCTTTCTCTTCACATCCTAATTGTATACTTTGCTGTGCTTTTTTTTTTTTTTCCCTTCAGTACTGGAGATTGAACCTAGGGGAGCTCTATGACTGAGCTATATTCCCAGCTCTTTTTATTTTTTTAAGACAGGGTCTCACTAAATTCCTGAGGCTGGCCTTAAACTTGTTATTCCCCTGTTTCAGCTTCCCACATAGCTGGGATTATAGGTGTGCATCACCATGCCCAACTGCTAGTTTGTTTTTTTTTTTAACACAGCTCCTCTAGAAACCAGTTCCTGAGGAACTTTATAAAAATGAAACACAGAAAACAGTTTAGTTGTTAATAGGGAATTGTTTAAATCAGTATTGATCACCCATTGTTGTTTTTTGTATAAAATGGGTTACAAACATGGTGATTGGTTACTGATATTAAAATTATATGTTAATGATACATAAAATTGAATTTGAGTAGGCTTTGGATATTCCTGTAGTAACATTGCTTTTCTCTACTGGTATTCCAATATGAGGGGTAGTTTGTATTTGATTCCTCATGATAGCCTTAGGGCCTGGTGAATAACAGGTACTCAAATGTTTGTGTGATGAATGGGAGTGAAGGATAAATTAAACACCCTGAGTGTTCCCATGGAACTGAACAGGGGACCTGAGTGAATCATGTTCAGTGGGGAAAAATGGCTGACAACTACTTTATTTCTGAGCTACATCCCGGACACTTTTATTTTTTATTATGAGATAGGGTCTCACTCTAAGTTGCCCAGCCTGGCCTTGAATTTGTGATCCTCCAGCCTCAGCCTTTCAAGTAGCTGGGATTACAGGCATGTGCTACTATGTCTGACACTCATTTTAAAATATTGATATATGATCCCAATTTGGAAGGAAGGAAGGAAAAAAAGGAAGTAAGGGAGGAAAGGCAAACTAGGGAGTAGCAAAGACAGGATTCAAACTCAGGAGGTCCTGCCCTGGAGTCCTTGCTCTGTACTAATTACTAATATGTTAATTTCATAGTAAGATCATGGGGAGTTTTAATTTTTTTGCTCTTCTAAGTTTTCTGTAGTGAACTTATATTAGTCTCAAAATTAGACTCCGATAATTTGGAGTGCCAGTTTATAAGTAAACCCCTCTAAACTTAGAACAAAAATCAAATTTCTGGAAGCAAAGCCTATTCTGCCTACACACATGGTAGTGCTGACCAGAGATGGCCTTGACAGCCTTCCCCACAGTCAAGGGCTTGGGAGGCCAAGCGGCCAGCAGGAGTTTCTCAAAGGCTTACCCAGCCTTCCTTTCTTCAGGGAACATTCTCAAACCTCTGACTCTGCTGAGCTCTGTTTCCACAGGCGAGAACAGATCGAGTCATCCCATGCAGCCATGCAGGACCAGGAACGATATGAGGATTCCCATCTGGGGGGCTATCGGCGGATCTATCCTGGGCCTGACACAGGGAAGTATGAACCCTTCTTCAAGCACAATGGCTCCCTCTTCCAGGAGACTGCTGCCTCCAAAGCCAGAGAAGAGTGTGCCAGGTACTTTGCCACTTTGTCCTGCATTTCCTTTATGCAAATAGATGAGGGCAGATCCTGAACCTGAATTTCTCCCCAGCAGCAGGGAGGAAGCCAGACACTTGAGGAAAGAGAAATAGAGCTATTATATATTCTGTCAGCCTCTTAGTGACTCTTCATTCTGCAGGTTCCTCCCTAATTCCTGTCCCATCAGTCCCAAGAACAGATCACGATTCCTGCTTATCCCGTTTTCCCTCTATTTCCTTTTCCCCAACACAATTCCTTCAGTATCTGAAGCTTTTATGTTTTATCAGGCAGCAACTAGAAGAGATCCGCCTGAAGCAGGAACAGCAGGAGAATTCAGGCACTAAGAGGCGAAAGGAAAACAAGGACCAGAACCAGGGTGAATCAGCTGGGGAGAAGAGCCGATCCAGGGCAGGGCCCCGGGGCCTTTTCACCTACTTGGCTTACAGGAATCGGAAGCGGGAGAAAGAGGTGTCAGGGGTTGTGTGACTCTTATCTTTCTGCAGGAAAATGGGTTGGGACTACTAGAAAAGGGGATCTCTGCTGTCCTCTCCTCCCCTTGCACAAGAGAGATGAGTTCCTTATCAGTAAATTGAAACTGACTTTTTGGAACAGAAGGTGAGAGAATGGACAGCAAAGGGAACTCTACAGGAGGGTCAGGGCAGGGATGAAGGTAGAGTGGGCTAGAGTCCTACAGCCATCCTTGCCGATGGTTTGGGACTTGTCCTTGGAGATCCTGCATTTATCTCTCATGTACCTTGCAGCCCAAATCAATACACCTGGATATTATGCAACCTCAAGATATTGTGGAAGAGGAGGAGCTAGAGCGGATGAAGGCCCTGATACAAAGGGAGAATCTCATTCGAAGCCTGGGTATTGTAGAGCAGCTGACCCGCATGCTACACCCCAGTCACAGGGGCCAGAAAAAACTTCATGAGTATCAGGTGAGGGTCCTTATGAAGCCTTTGGCAAAAGAAGGGATAAAACGGTTGTGATATCAGCAGATGATGGTGTCACACCAAAAGATGCTTATGTGATGGTATCTGTTAATGGAGCTTGGGAAAGTTGAATAGGCTGGGCCTTGGGAGAGGGTCTGGTCTATTGGTTCTTTTTGCATCTATTCCCCATCTCCCTTATTTTCAGAATTGACATCCAGCAAAGTGCAGGCCCAACTTTCTCAATTACAAGAGACTTTCCCTTTATATTCTTATCTCATAGTAGCCCAAAAGTTATGACTGACAAATAACATGCTGTGGCTTCTGTGTAATCTCTCTAGCATTGACAGTGTCCTCTAACAGGGAATAAGTAAATAGTCTCAGGCCAGTAAAACAGTTGCTGGGTTAGTAACAAATCTATTGGGCCCTCTGTTTTTGTTGAACCCTAACTGGTTAAATAGTGGCTATGGCCTAGAAGAGATTTTTTAAGTTACTTATTTCTTCCAACACTCCATCCAGCCTCACAAGAAATGTGGTAAGGGGCTGCTCTTCTCCTCTAGCCTAGATTTCACCAGGACGGGCTGGGCAGTCAAGAAGTGCAATCTGTGAGTCTGGTCCCATTGGTGCTCCTAAGAGGGGCTACCTCAGAGCAGGGCCAGCCTCATTTCCTGCAACCACTTCGGCCCCATGAATTGATCCCCAGGATCTTAGGGCCACTGCCAAGCACGAATGCTGCAATTCCACAACATTCCCGGTGCCATCTGCAGCCCAAGACCTTCAACTGGATAGGAGATCCAGCAGCCATCAGTCCCTGTTCATTGTCAATGAGGAAAGCTGGGAGGCACTATTTTTCCAGCGCTAGATTCAGGGTCACTAGCCGTAAGTATACAAAACTAGCTTTGGTCACTTTGACCTGTGTAAATTTCTAATAGCAGATATTACAGCTGGGATGCTCCTAAACTATAATGATGCAGTGGTACAGGAATGGGGAGGTGGTGGACCCATTTATTTAACTTCTCCTATGTGTTAGACTCTGATGATAATAATGGCAGAATTACAGTCCTAGCCCTCAACAAAGGTAACAAGAAAGTGGGCAAGTAAACGTACCAAGTATAATACAGTGTGGTAAAGATGCTGGAGGAAAGCATGGGATACCATTCCTCTGTGGTAGTAACTGGATTACAGATGAGAAAGAGGTGGGCAAATCTTTTCTGTGAGTACCAACTCAGGAGGGGTCCATGTTTTCACTGCAGAAGGCCAAGCCAGCAGAAGGCTAGAAGCCATAAACCAAGCCCTGGCAGTATCAGTGCCATCCACTTTAACCCCAAAGCATGGCTATCTTCTGCAGACTGAACGCACATTGCCTTCCATGGTAAAGTCTGAACACAGAACAGCCAAGGCGAGGGATCTCACTCTCTGCCCTGCCTCTGCACCTGTTCTGCAGCATTCCAGTACAATTCTTAACGTTAGCCAGCACAGGTAAAAGCAAGAAGGAAGTCAGCACTCAACCTCTCCTGGAGAACCTCCTGAGGTTCCAAAAGGAGCACTGGGCCTTCAATCTTTGCTAAATGAAAGTCGGCCACCAAGTTCCAGTTTGAAAACCCCAGTCAGGAATCCTGTTTGAAAAAGGAAAAACAAAGACACCAAGAATTCCTCAACACCCTAAGATTCTTTTGGGATTGGTAAAGACTAAAAGATGAAGAGCCAAGGCTGGCCAAATACTCATTTCCACTTGTCAAGCCTGAAGCTGGGATTACTGTTGAGGGATGTCTGAACCTTGGGAGCGGTCACCCCAGCGACGTGTCCCTTTTACCCTTGGAGTCAAGTGCCCAAGGCACGGGTCTGTCGCCGTCAGCCGACTGCCAAGGGTGGACGCCCTTCCTGCCATGGTGGCGGAGACAGGCAGGCCTGGGCAGCTTGACACAGAGGGGCGGCTCTCGGTAATTGAATCCGTCTTTTTATTAAAGTTTATGTCGTTTTCCAGGAGTGTCCTGAACCTCATTTAGACCCTCGCGTTTCAAGGCAGCCAAACAGTTACAGCTAGGAAGAACGGGCCGCTAAACAGCTCAGGCCTGGACTGTCCTTACAGCCCTGGAAAGGGCAACGCCTCGCCTCTGCCCTATTTCCCGCCCCGCCCCTTCCGCTTCCGGGACTGCTTCCGGTGCTGTAGGGTAGTGGGCTGCTGGAGGCTGGTTTACTTCGCCATGGCGGTTACCCTCAGCCTATTGCTGGGCAGCCGAGTCCGTACTGCTGTTGCTCGCTATGGGTTCGCGACCCGGGGGCTGGCGGGCTCAGGCCCTATGGGCCGTGAGCCGGACCCGGATTCCGACTGGGAGCCAGAGGAGAGGGAGTTGCAGGAGGTCGAGAGGTACTAGCTCCTTTCCCGGCCCTCAGCCTGAAGGTGGCCTTGGGCCTCGGCGCTTCAAGCCGCGCCCCCTTAGCGCCGGGCGTCCTCCAGCCGCCTCCACTGTGACTCTAATTTCTTCTTACCTGTTGTTAGCGGCGTAGGGACAGAGGTTCAGCTCCCTTGCGACCACAGGTTCCTTCGCTAGTGACGTATATTTCGTTACAATTTTAGATAGTTCAGCATGCTTACGGGCAGTTATTGTTGTAGGTGTAGATTTTTGGGTCGGTGTACAGAGCGGCGTTAAGCTGGCAAACATGGCCCGGTGGCCTTTACTGACACAAATGAGGGCTGGGCTCTTGGTGATTTAGCCCAAGACTTTTCAAACACCCATCTTGCTTCCACGCATGGCTTCTGCCATTGGTTCTCTCCCCCAGCACCCTGAAACGACAGAAAAAAGCAATTCGATTCCAGAAAATTCGGAGGCAAATGGAGGCGCCAGGTGCCCCACCCAGAACTCTGACATGGGAAGCCATGGAGCAGATACGGTAAGACTCGGGGTACTTTGTTAGCATCCGCTATGATAAGAGATGAAAGATTCTGGGGCTAAAACACGGGTTTGGCCATTTGAGTTTTGTTTTTGTATTTTGCCTTTCTGTTATAGGAAAATTTATACAGAAAATACAATAACATGACGAATTTCCTTAATTTATCATCTAGATTTTATTTATTTTATTTTATGGTATCGGGGATTGAACCCAGGGGCGCTTAAGCACTGAGCCACATCTCCTGCTACCTCTCCCCCATATATATTGTTAATTAGTTGTAGGTGGACACAATTCTTTTATTTATTTTTATGTGGTGCTGAGGATTGAGCCCAGTGCCTCACCCCTGCTTGGCAAGCGCTCTACTGCTGAGCCACAACCCCAGCCCCCCTTTTCTATATTTTAATTAGAGACAGTGTGTTGCTGAGTTGCTTAGGCTAGCTTTCAATTTGCGATCCTCCTGTCGCAGTCTCCTGAGCCACCAGCTGCTGGGATTACAGGCAAGTGCTACACCTTACGCAGCTCTTATCTAGATTTAGCATATAACAGTTGGTTCGTTTTTGCTGAACATTTTTATATAATTTTGTGGTTATTAATATTTTCATATTTTTATTGGTGCATTACAATTATATGTAACATTGGAATTTCTTATTACATGTTTATACATACATGATATAAAATTATAATTGTCAATATTGCAGAAAATGTAAAATAACACATTGCAACCCTAGGTTCAGAAACAGGACTCACATGGTTATGTGAATTTTCTTTCCTGTTTGTTTTTTTCGCTTTGCTGGGGATGGAACCCAGGACCTTGCACCTACAAGTGCTCTACCACTGAGCTACATCCCCAGCCCAGTTATATGCATTTCCTGAAAAGAGGATCCATACCTTTAAAAATCTTAAAAAGGTGCCTGCTCAAAAAATGTTAAATGCTTTTAAGTTGCTTTTCTTTTTAAATTTTTTTCTCTCTTTTTTTTTTATCTTGAATAGGTAATGTGTTATGGATGGTTCAAAATTATAACTATAACCTAGTGTACACATTGAGAATGAATCGTCCCGTTGCCTATTGGTACTATTTTTATTTTATTTATTTATTTTGAGAGAGAGAATTTTTAATATTTATTTTTTAGTTTTCGGCAAACACAACATCTTTGTATGTGGTGCGAGGATCGAACTTGGCCGCACGCATGCCAGGCGAGCGGGCTACCGCTTGAGCCACATCCCCAGCCCTTGGTACTATTTTTAATAGGTTTTGTGTTTTTTTCTCCAGATTTTCTTATGTAAATACAGCAAGTATGAGTACAAATTTTATTTTCACCACCTGAATCACAAAAAGTAGCATACTATAAATTCTGTTCTACATTTTCCTTTGTAACTTGATGTGTCCTATAGATCTTTCCATTTCAGAAGACAGAGCTACTTGATTCTTGCCAGACGTATTTGTTGTATACATTCCCAGAAGTAGAGTTTAAGGACCAAAAGATAAAGTATTTATATTTTGTTAATATTGCTGAATAGATCTATGTTGATTATGTACGCTGAATGATTCCAGTTGGGAGTAAAAGATTTTGTAGAAAAAATTTTTTGTAGAAAAGATTTTGTGAGTCCAGCTGGATGTAGGGCACATGTGAGTCTGGAGTCTGAGGTAGGCAATTGCAAGTTTGAGACAAGCCTCAGCAACTCAGTGAGGCCCTAAGCAATTTTTCAAGACCCTATCTCAAAAAATAAAAAAAAGGGCTGGGGATGTGGTTCAGTGGTTAAGTGCCCCTGGGTTCAATCCCTGGTTGGGGGGAAGGGGGAAGATTTTGTTAACCTGTACCATCTCCCTTCTAGGGTCCCATGAACTATATCTCCAGTCCTTTTTTTTTTTTTTAATTCTGAGATTTTGAGACAGGGTCTTGCTAAGTTGCCTAGGCTGGTCCTAGAACTTAAGATCCTCCTGCCTCAGCCTCCCAGCTTTTTTCTTTTTTTCTCCTGGTGCTGGAAATTGAATCCAGGGACTTAACACATGCTAGGCAATCAGTTCTCTATTATCTTAAATTAACTTTTTCAAACCTTCCAGCTTTCTACCTATCAAATCCCCTTTTGTAGTCAATAAATGTCCTTCTAAAAATTTAAAACAGGCCATTAGATAAAAACCCTGTCAGCTTCCTAGTCTTGCTCTTTTATTCTCATTTTGAGAGAAGTGATAGCCTATCACTTTGTTTAGGACAGTTCTCTTTGTGCTTTAGGTTGTCCCCATGTATTTTCTTAGGAACCTGTTTGTTTATTTGTACTAGGGATTGAACTTAGAGGTGCTTTACCACTGAGCTACATCCCCAATGCTTTATTTTTTGAGACAGGGTTTTGCTAAATTGCTTTAGGGCCTAAGTTGCTGAGGCTGCAATTCTCCTGCCTCAGCTTCTCAAGTCTGGCATGGGCTACTTACCCAGTGGAACCTGTCCTCTTAAAACCCTCCCTTGGGGCTGGGATTGTGGCTCAAGGGTAGAGCTCTTACCTAGCATGGGCGGGACCCAGGTTCGATCCTCAGCACCAGATAAAAATAAAGGCATTGTGTTGTATCCATCTACACTTAAAAAAAAACCAAAAACAAAACACTCCCTTACCAGGTGTTGTGGCACACCTGGATGGACTGGGGATGTGGCTCAGTGGTTAAGTACCCCTGAGTTCAATCCCTCAGTACTCTCCCATCAAAAAAAAAAAAAAAAAAAAACTATAAAGTAAAAACCCTACCTCTTTTTGTTTCCAACTTGCTTCTACCCATATTAGTTTTTTTTTTTTTTTTTGGTAGAGGAACAACATGCCTTTATTTTATTTAATTTTTACATGGTGCTGCGGATCTGACCCAGTTTCTCACACATGCTAGGCAAGTGCTCTGCCTCCTGAGGTACAGCCCCAGCCCATTTTTTTTCTTTGCATGTGATTTTTTTTTTAATTTATTTTTGTATTTGTAAGTGGACAGCATGCCTTTATTTTATTTGTTTATTTTTATGTGGTGCTGAGGATTGAAACCAGTACCTCACAGATGTGCAAGGCAAGCACTTTGCCACTGAGCTATAGCCCCAGCCCTGCCTGTGATTTTTTTAACCACTACAATAAGACTGTTCTCTTTAAATCCATCAGTGACTTCCTTATTATTAGATTCAGCTGACAGTGTGTGATCTTTAGCCTCCTTAAAATTCCTGGAGCATCTGACATCATAAACGGAACCTGGGACACATAGGTTCCTCAAACTGAATGCATACAAAATAGAATTAATCACTTTTACCTACAACTTAATTCTGTTCTTTTTTTCCCTATAACCCATCAACCACCCTAGCTTTTTTTTTTTTTCTCTCTGTGTGTGTGTGTGTGTGTGGTGCTGGGGATTGAACCCAGGGCCTGTGTGTGCACGGCAAGCACTCTACCACCTGAGTTATATCCCCTGCCCCCTAGCCTTGGCCTTGATACTACCAACCCCCTTTATTTAGTTCCTTAACAAATTCTACATTTGACCTTCCTAAATATTCTTCAGCTCTCTTCTGTCCTGTGCATACCTTGCCATTGTTTCTGTTCTGACTGCCTGAATTACAATAATAGCCTTGTGCCTAATCTTTCCACTTAGACCACCCCCCCCCACCCTGCCCCTGTGATGCTGAAGATTGAACCCAGGCCCTGGGTTGTGCTGAGCAAGTACACTCTGCCACTGAGTGCACCTCCAATCCCTCCACCTACACTTTTTTAAAAAAATATTTATGTATTTTTTTTAGTTGTAGGTGGACACATTATTTTGTTATTACGTGGTGCTGAGGATCAAACCCAGTGCCTCATGCATGCTAGGCAAGCACTGTACCACTGAGCCACAACCCCAGCCCCACTTTTTTTTTTTTTTTAATATTTAGTTTTTAGTTGTAGTTGGACATAATATCTTTTTTTGTTTTTATGTGGTGTTGGGGATCGAACCCAAGACCAGTGCCCACCCCCCACCCTCCACTTTTGTCACTGAACAACAATCACTGGGTTGAGCTTCAGAATGAATACTTACTCATGGCATTTTACTGCTTAAAGTCCTTCCTTGGCTCCCGGTTGCCTTGGGATAAATTTCAGACTCCTAGGCGCCATGTGACCTTACTTCTGCTCTGTCTGTTGAACTCTTCCCAGTGAAGGTGATGTGCTTCCTTGTATTTCAGATGTTGCTCACTCAACTATCAATGTCTTTGATCTGTCCTGCCTTCCTCTGTTTTTTTTTTTTTTTATAGTTGTAGATGGATAGAATGCCTTTATTTTGTTTTTTTATTTTTTAGTTGTAATTGGACATAACTTGTTTACTTATTTATTTATGTATTTATGTATGTGGTGCTGAGGATCGAATCCAGTGCCTTGCATGTGCTAGGTGAGCACTCTACCACTGAGCCACAACTCTAGCCCCTTATTTGTTTATCTTATGTGGTTCTGAGAATCGAACCCAGTGCCTCACATATGCTAGGCAAGTGCTGAGCTGCAGCCCCAGCCCCCCTTGCCCCCTCTCTACTAGCTTATTACTGCTTTTTATCTTTTCTGATGGGCTCTAGCTTGGATTTTCTGGAACATTTCCTGGGCCAGCCCTTTTGGATGTTCTCATTACATCATCTGCTGTCATTTAGCATAGTGCCATTGTGTGCTTTTAGGAGTGAAGTTCAGTCTTCCTTCACCCCAGGAAGTAACTTCCAATGGGAAGTGTTCAGTTGAGGTGAAATGAAGTGACCGACTGAAAGTGGTCAGGTGTTACTGTGAGTATGCCAGTTACTTAATTGGCACAATAAAAGGACTGCATTTATAATTTTTCCAAAGTCCTTTTCTTTTTACTTATTTATGACTGGTATTATCAATTAGCTGTTCTGGTAGAAGACTTCTTCACAACTTGAAAACCTGCTCCTTTTTCCCATAGGTATTTACATAAGGAATTTGCTGAGTCCTGGTCAGTTCCCAGGTTGGCTGAAGGTTTTGATGTCAGCACCGATGTTATCCGAAGGGTTTTAAAAAGTAAATTTGTACCCACTTTGGAACAGAAACTGAAGCAGGATCAAAAAGTTCTTAAGAAAGCTGAGTTTGCCCACTCACTCCGGCAGCTCCAGGGCTCTGGAGATACCGTGAAGTCACTTGCTGCAGGCCACTCTGTAGCAAACTCTTTTCTGATGCCAGGGGATGAAGCCTCATCTGAAGGTCAGCATCACAGCACAGCTTTGACAGTGATAGAGTCAAAAACTCACAGTACAAATGCACTGAGACAAAAGGGAAGGAATAAAGGAATCCAGGGTTTGAAGAAGGAAAGCTTTGAGCCTATCACTGCAGCCTTAGGTCATCAGAGAGAGCTGCAAAAATACTCCAATGATTGTGTAGGCACCAGAAGAACTGACAGTAATGGATTGCCAAGTGATGAGAAACTGGAAATGTTGAAGACGGGGGAGCTACGGAACCAGAACTTCAGCAGCAAAGTAGTGCAGAGGGGACGGGAGTTCTTTGACAGCAATGGGAACTTCCTGTACAGAATTTGAGTTGGGGCCCGGCTTGTGGAGATGCCATGTGAAACAGCTAGACTAATATATTTGGAGCTCCAAGATTTCTGCATGTGGATATCTACTTTGAAATAGGAGGAATTTGATGAGCCTGGAATATGGACAGAAAGAGCTGCTTGGTTATTCAAGCTTTTTGGATCACTGCTCCCAGTCTGACTTGTGTATCTTCAGTATTCTCCTTTTTGCTTAACTTCTGTATGTTGAAAATCAGTATTGTTTCTGTGATACTTGCAATAATATGTTCGGGGGGAAGTGAAAAGTTTGCTTTCTGACCTCATTTCCTTCTTGATCATTGAACACTAACAGTTTTTGAGCTGCTTAGTAAATTGGTTCTTTTTTTCCTTTGGTGCAAAAATAAAATGTAGCAGTTCGTGTTGCTTTGTGTCTCTGGAGTGACTCTTGGAGAGTGCTGGAATGGAAAATGCACTGGGAGATGAGGAATCCCCATCTGAGGGTTCTCTGCAAAGCACCCTGCTCGTTGATAAAATTTGGGGAGCCGGGTACCCAGGGACAATTTACCACTGAGCTACATCCCCAGATTTTATTTTGAGATAGTGTCTCACTAAGTCACTTAGGACCTCACTAAATTGCTGAGGTTGGCCTTGAACTTTTGATCCTTCTGTGTCAGCCTCCTGAGCCACTAGGATTATAGGTGTGTGCCACTGCACCAGGCTCAGTGATAGATTTTGATAACCCCAAACTGTACATCTTTCAGTTGCTGGAGTTTTGAGAGAGATTGGGAGTGGAAATTTGACAAAAAAAAAAAAAAWGGAAAGCATGCAAAGGCTTAAGAGTCCCCAACATCAGCCAAGCAGGCTGTAATCCCAATACATCTATAGTCCCAACTCCTGGTGAGGCTGAAGTAGGGAAAAGCAAGTTTGAGACCAGCCTGGCGAGTTAACCTTGTCTCAAAAATAAGAAAAGAGGGCTGGGGTTGTGGCTAAGTGGTAGAGTGCTTGCCTAGCACATGTGAGGCACTGGTTTGATTTTCAGCACCACATAAAAATAAATAAATGTGTCCATCTACAACTAAAAATAATATATTTTAAAAGAAAAGGGTTTGGGATGTAGTTCAGAGTGAAGCTCTTGCCTAGCATGTGCAAGGCCCTGGGTCTAGTCCCCAATACTGAAGAATGAAGTCCCCATTGTAATTTTTTTTTAACATTTTTTAGTTGGACACAACACCTTTGTTTTATTTATTTATTTTTATATGGTGCTGAGGATTGAACCCAGGGCCTCGCATGCGCTAGGCAAGCGCTTTACCGCTGAGCCACAATCCCAGCCCCCCCATCGTAATTTCTAGCCACATTTTAAAGCTTACCTAGATTATATCTGATTTTTACAGTTGACAACAGATTTCTACAAAAGTGCAATGCAGTAGGCAAGAACAGATAATAGGCCTTTCTTACAAATAATGAAATGGATATGATGGCTGCTGTTAAGTGGTGGTGTTGGGACATGAACCCAGGTCACCATTAAGGTTTTCTGAAACAGGAATATTCTAGGATGTGGCATAGTTTCTACTAATTTACTGATTTTTTTTTTGGGGGGGGGTAATGGGGATTGAACACAGGAGTGCTTCACAATTGAGCTATATCTGCGAGCCTTTTTTTTTTTTTTCTTTCTTTTGAGACAAGATCATTAAATTGCCAAGACAAACTTGGAATCCTGCTTCAACCTCCCAAGTAGCTGAGATTACAAATGTGTGCCACTGTCCCTGGCCCATGAAAATCTTTTGCTCTAGAGGCATTAGATGCTGTTTGAATATTGCAGTATGCATATCTTTAACACTAAGCCATGCTTACTGCAACCCTGCCACCCGCCCCCCCCCTCCTGCTTTTTTTGTTACCAGGGATTAAACCCAGGGGCACTTAACCACTGAGCTATGTTTCCAGCCCTCTTTTTTTTTTTGAGGCAGGGTCTTGCTAGGTTGCTTACAGCCTTGCTAAGTGGCTGAGGCTGACTTTGAACTTGTGATCCTCTTACTTCAACGTCCTGAGTCTCTGGGATTATAGGCATGGGCCACTGTGCCCAGGTAGCCTTTTTTATTTTTGAGACAGGGTCTTTCCACACATAAGGCTTACAGTTTGCATACCTTGCAAATCACCTCACCATTCACTTTCCCAGTGGACTGTGGAAATCTACAAGTTCAAACTTGGATGTGTTTTTCATATACTTTACCCCTTCACTCCCTTGTGCACTAATTTGAAATCTTTTTTCCCATTCTTGGAGCATGCCAGTTTAGGCTTTTGCTTTTATTCATTCTTTGCCCCCAGATTCATGTGATTGACTTCTTGTCATTTAAGCCTCAAATCAGTTGTCACTTTCTTAGAGGGGTCTCCTCTGATCATCCAATTTAAAGCAGGTTCTTTAATACTCATTATTACTACCTCATTTAATTTTCTTCAGTATCTGAAATCTGTTACCACTTATCTTCTCCCCAGCATTTTACCTCATGAAGGTAAGAGACTTGTGTGTTCATTACTGTAGTCCCAGCCCCTAACATCTCAATATTGGTTGAGTGAATGAAGAAATGATTGAGGGACTTCTGAATAGTCAATGTTTGATGGTCAAAAAGCCTTGCTTTTTACTGTTGCCAGTTTACCCAGGAGCTCAGCCAGGGTAGGCCTCCTGCTCTAGCCTGTCAGTGTGTCTCAGATCCTAAATCATTGGTTTTAGGACACTCCAGTTTCTTTTTTTTGAGGAAGGGGAGTAACTAAGGATTTAACCTAGGGGCAGTTAACTATTGAGCCACATTCTCAGCCCCTTTTTAAACAAATTTTGAGACGGGGTCTCTCTAAGTTGCTTAGGGCCTCAGCCTCTGTAGTCACTGAGATTACAGGCATGTGCCACCATGCCTGCTTTAGGAAATTCCAGTTTTAGTGTTTCAGGAAATAGTCTCTGAGCCCAAGCTGTGATGTGGGATGGGGTATAATTCCAGTTCTGTGTTTATTGGTCATGCTCTCCACAGACCCCTGTTCTCAGTCCCTTTACATGACAAGAACATTAAGGCCACACCGGATGAGATGGAACTGCACTGTGGAGCACAGGTTCAATGTGTCCAATAGAGAAAGCAACAGGTAACAAGGTTCTACCTGAGCTAGAGAGAAAGCAGCTACTGGTAGGTGTTTTTGTTAGCTATTTTGCCACTGTGACTTAAAGACCTGACCAGCACAATTGTAGAGAAGGAAAAGTTTATTTGGGGGCTTATAATCTCAGAGGTCTCAATCTACAGACAGCAGGCTCCATATCTCGGGGCTCAAGATGAGACAGAACATCATGGCAGGAGAGCATGGCGGTGGAAAGCAGCTCACATGGTGATCAGGAAGCAGAATCTACTGGCCAAATACAAAATATATAAAGCCATGTCCCCAGTGCCCACCTCTTTCAGCTACCCCTTACCAACCTTCAGTTACCAAGCAGTTAATTAATCCCCTAACAGGGGATTAATTCACTGATAATGGGTTCAGACTCTCAACCCAATCATTTCTTCTCTGAACCTTCTTGCATTTTCTTGCACATGAGCTTTTGGGGGACATCTCACATCCAAACCATAGTAGTGAAATAGTTACTTTCCAGCAGCCTTTGGTCCAAGCTCAAGAGGATGGCAAACCACAACAAAAGAACTTTTTGTGTCTCAGTGGTAGAGTGCTTACCTGGAATGTACAAGGTCCTGGGTTCAATTTCCAGCACCTCAAAAACAAATAACTTGTCCCTTTACTGTAGAGGATATACACTTACCTGCTTTAAGGGACAATAGAAGTGAAATTCACCATCTTTGGGCAGCCTCCAGTTCAGTGCACAGCTGAGAATCAAGCTAATGGTAATGTGGGGGGAGGAAGCTCAGCATAAAATATTACATGAGCTCCTAAAGTCCAGTATGAGCACAGCACTCTTCTAACAACAACAAAAAAAAAGATGAAAATTAAAATGCAATGAACCACTGTTTACCGACCACTTTTTTTTTCTTTTGATGTGTGAGATTGAATCCAGGGTTTCATTCTACTAATGCACTACATCACCAGCTCTTAATAAATCGCCTAATATTCTGACAGTGGTGTCTCTCTTAGCAGTCCTACAATTAACTCAGGACCACTTTACCACTGTGTCCCATCCCTTTTTATTTTTCACTTTTGAGATTGGGTTGTTCTAAGTTGCTGAGGCCTCAAATTTGTGTTCCTCCTGCCTCAGTCTGAGTAGCTGGAATTACAAGCATGGGCCATCTTGCCCAGCTGATGTAGTTTCTTTATTTTTCCTAAATGACTTTTGCAGTTAGTTTATTTGAATTAGTATCCAAACAAGGTTCACACATTGTAACATTACATTTTATTGATAGGTCCCTTAAGTCCTGTATTTTATTTATTTATTAATATTTATTTTTTAGTTGTAGTTGGACACAAAACTTTATTTTTATGTGGTGCTGAGGATTGAACCCAGGGCCTCACACATGCTAGTGAGCCCTCTTCCGCTGAGCCACAAACCCAACCCTAAGTCCTGTATTTTAAATATGGTTGCTTTGATCCCTATGTCTTAACATGTTCCTATTAATCTGTATGTTCTACAAACAAGTTGATATTAAAGTTTGATCAGAGGCTGGGGATGTGGCTCAAGTGGTAGCACGCTCGCCTGGCATGCATGCGGCCTGGGTTCGATCCTCAGCACCACATACAAACAAAGATGTTGTGTCCGCCAAGAACTAAAAAATAAATATTAAAAAAAAATTCTCTCTCACTCACTCTTTCTTTAAAAAAAATAAAAATAAAAAAGTTTGATCAGGTTCAAATTTTGGCAGGATGTGATGCACTGTACTTTGTATGTATCTCACCAGGGAACGATATGATGGAATGATTATTCAGAGTTTCAGATGGGTGCGGTGGCACCCACCTATAATCCCTCCCTATTTGGGAGGCTGAGACAGGAGGATCTCCAGCTAGGCAATTTACCAAGACCTATCAAAAAGAAAAAAATAGGGGCTGGGATTGTGGCTCACTGGTAGAGCACTAGCCTAGCACATGTGAGGCCCTGGGTTCGATCTTCAGCACCACATAAAAATAAATAAAAGGATTGTGTCTAACTACAACTAAAAAATTTAAAAAAGAAGAAGAAATAACCTAAAACAAATAACAAAAACAAAAACTGGGGATGTAGCTCAATGGTAGAGTGCCCCTAGGTTCAATATCTAGTACTCCCCAACCCACTTTTTTTTTTTTAAGAGCTTCAGGTATTGTCATCCTCATGTCTCTTTGTCACGTGTGTGTGTGCGTGTGTGTGTAATTCCTGCGATGCTGGGGATGGAACCCAGAGCCTTGTGCATGCTAGACAATTGGCTCTACCACTGGATTGGGTATAATTCCAGCCCCTTATGTCTCATAAACCTTTAAAAAAATAGATTATTACCATCATTACCCTTCATAGTTTCCTCTTATCTTCCCAGCCAACTCCTATTCTCAAAGGCAATCATTTTTCTGAAAACATTTTCACCATACATTAGTTTTTCCTGATTTAGAACCTCATGTAAATATCACCGTAGAATTGTACTCTTGTCTTTATCTTCTTTTACTTATTCAGTTGTTTTAAATATATGAATATATCAGTTTATGTATCAATTTTCCCAAAAAACTCATTAACAAATCAAAGTCTGAAGGCCAGCGCTGGCAGAGGTTGGCTTCCATTGGGCTGTAAAGCGTTCCTCTTTCTCTCCACGGATAGGCATTTCCACGCATTTAGCCTCCTGCAGCCCTAAGCCACAAATGCCTATCTGGCTACTAAATTTGTCAAGTAGATTTGATTGACAGCTGAGACTCAAGTGATCCAGTGCTCTGCGGACCGAGTTGGTTTAACTGAGCAGGTACCAGCACGGTGCACGCTGGAAACCCCTGTTACTTGGAAGGCTGATCGCAAATTCGAAGCCAGCCTGGGCAACTCAGTGAGAATATCTCAAAATAAAAAATGCTGGGGGATAGGCTGGGAATATAGCTCAGTTGATAGAGTGAGTACCTCGCATGCAGAAGGCCCTGCGTTCAATCCCCAACACCACACACACGAAAAAAGGCTGGGGATGTAGCCTTTTTAAACCTCAGGGTAAATTTAACTTGAGTTCAGTCTTCTGTACCAAAAAGAAAAGGAAATTGAGACGTGCCCAACTCCTACTTGAATGAGCCAGAAGAATTGTCTGTATCCTTTAAAATTAGTTAAATATATCATTTTATCCTAGGAACACATTCCTCTGGCCAGAAAATGAAACTAGAAAGTTGACTTGTCGCTTACGGTATCCACTTGTTCTTTCCCGGTCGCCGTTCCCTTCCCGGTATGCTAAGCGCTAGGCGAGCAAACAGGACTTCCGGGAGGTCTAGGAAGTAGCTTCTTTTTCAGGGCGGAGTTACGTTTCTTTGGCGCCGGTGGAGTTTGTGCTGGTATAGAGCGGAATCCTGCTGACAAACCGAGTAGGTTGGGAAGGAACGGATCGCTACACACTGACTGCAGGTCTGAGGCGAGTCGCCCTCCAAGCCTGCGGCCGTCTGGCTGGGAGGCGGCTATTTATTTTTCTAGTGTGGCCGAGGGGCGAGGGCCCCTCCGGGGGTTCTGCTCTGGTACTACAGTCCCAGCGAGCAGGATAGCCGTCCTGTGCTCACCCTGGGTGGCCACCGGCCTTCTCAGAACGGAAGGCGCCCGCCTCCTTCTACACCTAGGCACAGGTGTTCGCTGCCATGGCTTTTCCACTTCGGCCGGACGCTCCTGAGCTTCCTGACTTTTCCATGCTCAAGAGGCTGGCTCGAGACCAACTCATCTATCTGCTGGAGCAGGTCAGTGCCCGTCACCCTCAGCATCCATGGTTTAGCACTCACATGACGCGTACTTCTTTGTTTCTGAGTCCGTTCGATCTTGTTGTTGTCCTTGAAGCTTCTGCGTCAGGTCCAAAATGAAGCAGACAGCAAAGAAAACCCAGGATAGAATGAGCTGCTTGAGACCTGGCCAAAGAATTAATGGATTTTTTTTTTTTAACAGTTAAGGGAGATAACGCTTGTCCAGGCATCATTGGGGATGGAAAGACATCTTTGTCATTAAAAGATCTTAAGCACCAGGAGACAGATAAAACACAAAATACTACACGCAGGGTATCAGGTGGTAAACCGGTGATAGACTGCTTGAAGTTCAGAATAAGCACTCATCTAGGTTGGATGATCTAGGAGTTTTGCGGGGCTAGGGTGTAAAGAATAAACATATTTTCTTTAGAGACTGAAGATTATTCTCCAGGCAGATGGACTGGTAGGAGCAAAGCTGAGGAACCAGGGAAGGGCTAAGCATGTCAAGAAAATGGAGATATCAGATGGTAGACTGAACCCTTCCCCATCCTATTTGTGGCATGAACAATACTTGATAATGATTCTAATAGCAATGTGTGGGATGGGGTAAATGGGCAACAGAATGCCAGTTAAGTGACCATAGATCAGATTGACCCACATGAAGTTGGAGGCAATGGAATGAGGGAGAAATGATGGATTTGTAAGTCATGGTGAAAGAAGACTGAAAGAGTTACTGATGATTAGTTGTAAATAATGATGGAGAAGTAAAGTTGACTGAGATTTTTAACCTGGATTATTAGGGAAATAATGCTGCTACTATAACTGTAACAAATTACTTGTTTAATTATTTAGTTATTTGGGTTTTTTCCCAAACTGTATCCAGCTTTTTTAAAGATATTTTTCATAAACAATCATAGTACTTCAAGCAAGATATGGGCAGACAATAGTTAACAGTATATAACAGCTTTAAAATTCCCTTCTTGGTTGGACTACCAAAATCAGAAAACCACTATAAAACCCAATGAAATCTTCATACGATGCTCTAATAGAGAAAGTTTAGAGTGAGGGTTGACATTCCACATTTAGCATGTTGTTTAATAACTTTTCATGAGCCAGCCCTGAATTTCAGGAAATAAAATGAAAATGGTAAAAATTATTGATTTGAAGATCCACAATGTAGAAAAGGAATTGCTGCTCTTCTGAGGGACACTGTTCTCAATGATGTCACTGGAAAGACCCGATTGCCCCATACACTAGTAAAACCAAGTGTTGGGAATCAGGTCCAACAGATCTGAGTTTAGGGGAGTTAAGTCTATGCAGGTGGCAGAAAGGGAGAGAAGGACATAAAGATGAATTTAAGTTTTTCCATACCATGAGGCATTTGTGCCAAGGTGACTAAGTGTGCCAACATCAGGGAGTCCCTCCTCTTGGGACTCTCAAAACTAGCAGGGAAAGGTGTTTTCCCCCACAGCAATCCAGCTCTGGAGACATTCTGCTAGTGATGTTTGCTCCTTCCCTCCAAAACAATAATGAGGGGCTGGGGATGTGGCTCAAGTGGTAGCGTGCTTGCCTGGCGTGCGTGCAGCCCGGGTTCGATCCTCAGCACCATGTACAAACAAAGATGTTGTGTCTACTGAAAAACTAAAAAAAATAAATAAATATTAAAAATTCTCTCTCTCTCTCTCACTCTCTCCTTAAAAAAAAAAATAATGAAGTGTTCTGTGTACTAACAACATAGCTTTAACAAAAAAAAAAAAAAAGTAGGGCTGGGATTGTGTCTCAGCGGTAGAGCGGTAGAGCGCTCGTCTAGCATTTGCAAGGTCCTGGGTTTGATTCTCAGTCCCACATGAAAATAAATAAACAAAATAAAGGTATTGTGTCCAACTACTTCTAAAAAATAAGTATTTTTTTTAAAAAATAAAAAATCTGCATTTTTATAAAATTTGATAAAAAATAGTATTTCAAATTGTACAGTACACAGTTATCAAAAATGCACACACTTCACTTGGCATAGTCAGCACCTTCAGCTTTCTGTGCCTTGTCTGTTTTGGCGTCTCCATTTTCTGCATTATTCCCATCCTTGGTGGTGTCAGCTTTTCCCTTTTTCCCTTTGGGTACCTTCTCTCCCTTCTTTGCAGAGGCCTTTATATAATTGGGCTCTGGCTTTGGAGAAGTAGGTTTAGCAGACAACCTTGCAGATCTTCTGTGAGTTTATCTCCTTTAGCATCCCCTTCAGCCTTTCTCTTGGGCAAGGTGGCAGCTGCAAAGGAACAAAGGCGCTGGATACAAGGGTGCAGCGGTGTGAGGCTTTGATTGGTTCAGGGGTTGTTCTTGCCTCTTCTTCACACTGCTCTGTGGTTTTTTGTTTGTTTGTTTGGTTGGTTTGTTTGTTTATTTTTTTTTTTTTTTGGTGGAGCTGGGGATTGAATCCAGGGCCTTGTGCATGTGAGGCAAGCACTCTACCAATTGAGCTATATCCCCCAGCCCTAGTTATTTGTTTAATATCTTGTTTGCCACTAGATTGGAAGGTCCTCAAGGACCTAGCTTAGAGTCAAGCATATAGCATGTGCTTAATGAATATTCATTTTATGAACATTGAATGGAAATTTAAAAACACATAGAAAGAAGAACGAGTTTGGTGGTCAAAGCTGATTCTTTTAGATTTGTATGGGGTGAAGTTATGGAGTTTAGTGTGTAACATTTGGCAGATAGAAATGTAGAGCTGCATTTCCATCATGAGGGCTTGAAGACAGGAGAAAACCTCAAGACATCTGGGACTGAATTTTATTTTGCTTTTGTATGCCCCATAGTGCTAGCACAGTGATTTGCCTTCACTCATTGTTGAGTAAAAGATTCAACAAATGTCTGAGGAATTGAAAAGAGGTGCTAGTTAAAGCCATTAGTTCAGGTGAGATCAACATGAAAGAACAGAGACCAAGGATAGAGACTTGTAAGTGGGGGGAGTCCACATAGTGACTCAACATGGCCAGAGTGGATCTCCATGAGCTAATGCCCTCCTCAAACTAACTTCTGATTCACTTCATGTTAATGGGCACTGCTGTTTGGCTGGATCATAATCATCTTTGACTATCCTTCCCACTAACACTTAAGTGAATTGATTGCTGAATCCTATGGCTATTTCCTTGCACATAACCTTGTAATGCAGGGCTTTTCACTTGCTAGGCAAGCACTCTACCATTGAGCTATAATTCCAGCACTTCTTATTTTATGGTGACATAGGATCTTGCCAAATTGTCCAACTAGCCTCAATGTTGCAATCCTTCTGCCTAATCCTCCCAAGTAGCTGGGATTACAGACATGTGTCACCAAATCCAACTACATATTTTTTAAAAATAATGATCATAAAATAGTTTGCATATTATAGAAAATGTGGAAGATAAAGAAAAATATTTTAAAAAACACTTATAATCCCACCACCAGATATAAGCAGTGTTAATAATGCTAATTTCTTTCAGGTATATTAAAAACCTAAATTACATATTCCATGTAGCTCTTAACGTATTTTTATTCATGGCACTACCAGCTTAAAGCAAGTCTTCATTTGTTGTCACATGCTTGGCTGCTTAGTCTGGCATTAACTTCCTAAAAGGACTCACCTGCTTTTCTTACATCTCAATCCATTTTATCCATAGTTACTAGATTCTTTTTTTTTTTTAAGAGAGAGAATTTTTAATATTTATTATTTTTTAGTTTTCGGCTGACACAACATCTTTGTTTGTATGTGGTACTGAGGATCGAACCCTGGGCTGCGCGCATGCCAGGCAAGCGGGCTACCGCTTGAGCCACATCCCCAGCCCAGTTACTAGATTCTTATGATTAAAATTTCTAACCAATTGGGATGCTTCAGTGCAAAAAAGTTTCCTGTTATCACTGATCCATAAAGGATTGTGTCATAACCTGCTATTGGAAGCCCTTTATGTTCCATTCTAGGCAACTGTTTCAGTATTATTCCTTACCATTATCCTACATAATGATTTCTGAAGCTTGGTTCTGTTGACATTCTGGGCTGGATAATTCTGTGTTGTAGGACTTGTCCTATTCATTGTAGAATGCTTAGCAGCACCTCTGTTCTTACCTGTATGATGCCAATAACACCCTCTACTTGAAGGCAGGCAACCAAAACTGTCTCTGGACATTGTCAAATGTCTCTTTGGTGGGGCAGAATCATCCCTGATTGAGAACTTATACCTTCCATGTAACTTATCAGCCAAATTGAATTGTTTTGTTCTTCCCTTAACATTCAGTTTATTCTCTGTTCCTGACCTTTGCTGGATTGCCTTTTTGTTTTTGTTGTTTGTTTACTTTTTGTTTTTTGGTACTGGGGAATAGGACCCAGGGGTGCTTTACCACTGAGCCACATCCCCAGCATTTTTAATTTTTCATTTTGAGACAAGGTCTCACTAAGTTGCTGAGGCAGGCCTTGAACTTGCAATCCTTCTGCCTCAGGCTCCCAAGTTGCTGGGATTATAGGTGTGCACCATTGCACCTGGCTGGATTG